CAATTCAGAAAAAAATAAGGAAAATAAGTGAAAATATTCTTTTGCATAATCAATATGAGTTTATCATCAAACCTAGAAGAACTAAACACCCTGCTAGCTGAAGTATAATCAACCTTGTCCAACTTACATCTCACACCCTGACTCGATGCTCCTTCTCCTGCAATAAAGTTTCATTGCAGCTAAAGTGCCAACAAAATCCTGCGGTTAACCAGCCAGTAGGTTAAAGTACTGCAGCAGTTCTTACAGTAGGAGGAGCGTGCATATTATTTTGCCCCGAGTCGAAACTGCTATGATGGACATCTATCTCAGCCAATGACCTGTTAGAGAAGACCCAAACAGCCAACCACAGATCAGACATTGCGGAGGGACAAGCTGTCTCTGAAGTAAAGCAGATTACACAGAGTTTATCTACGATCCCATGCACTAAATAGGCCTACCTGATATGTTAATAATTTGGATAAATAATATGAAAAGCAGTAGCTCTAAAATAGCGATGACCAGTAAATCAATCAAAGTGAAACACCAATTATACTAAGATTCTCAAAACAATAGCCGCGTATATAAATGCTGATCAGTCTTCTGTAGAAATGCATCAAATGCGCACACAAGATACACATTGCACAATTAAAGTTGTGGCAGTGTGTTATATAAAAATACTAACTCTTCTGCCATTTATGGTAATTAAGCCCCAACCGGGAACTTTGTTTTGTAGCCCGGTTTCAAGTCGGAAGTATTTTGAATTCGGAACAAGGATGGCGCTCACCAAAAGTCATCCATTCCTCAAGTATCTATTACATCTTGCCCACGATAATCTGGACTTCAGGTTACCGGTAACTTTCAAACTACGTCAGATTTGTATGCAGCGCTTATTGCAGTTGTTTAAGTTAAATTGCTTCATGAAAAGAACAGTATTTAGCAAGAGCCTAGCTCACCTCTCGGCTGTAGCCTGTTTCTTACCAACCTGTATTCCATCAGCAGATCTTATTACTTACCAGATAGGAAGGGTATAACAAAATGGTGCTCCTGCATTGCATAGCACTCAGGTTATATCGGCCTCTACTGCAACAAATATGACCATTCTGTATTTAATCTGTCTATTTTAGTCCCCTATTTGATATACTTTTACGTGTAATATAACGTTAATGTAAACGATATATCAGTATTTGTATCTTGCCTGCTCTTCCAGGAGATTAAGGCTCTGCTGAGTCTCAGAGGAAAACCATTCCATCCATATGAGAACTTCAACGAAAAGGTTTGCCGACCAATGTTCACATTTTAATTCTCGTCCTTTTGCTTTGCCTGTTGTTTCCAATAAAGTGATTACCTATGAGTGATGATTTGACAGTTGCCAGATCAGATGTTTCCCATTTTATCACTTTTCTTCTGGCCACTCTTCTCTCTAGTCTCCTTTCTGGCGTCTGAAGGATTTGTCTGAGGAGGATGTTCGTGGTATCATGGCCAGATCTGTTTGTGCAAAGTAAGTGTTTTAACTT